TGTGCGACGAGCTATGCACCAAGCGCGTCCCAAACTACCAGCTGGCAATAGCTATCGTTCATAAAGTCCGTCACCCGATTTTTGTGATCAGTATGTCGAACAACACCAGGCTAAATTTTAGCGAGATCCGAGATTTCGGACTGCTAGAACGGATAAGGTGTAAAAGTACCTTTTTAACAACCTGAGATTCGATCAATCAATATTGCAATCAATTGACTGCGAGAATATAAGATGCCGTTTTGAATAAAAATTGGTCATTCTGTACTTGGAAAACCATACAACTTGTCCGACACGATAATGTAGGATCATTTCTGCGTGAAGAACAGAATATAACTAGGATATTTTAACCACCAGAGTGTACTCCGTCGTCAACAACTCAGAAATTTTACTTTCCATACATCTAAAGGTAATACAAAGACCCTCGCTTATCTATGATCGCTATTTAACTTCCAGGTAGAACCATTAACTTCGGTGTAAATAAGTTAGAACCGTATTTTAGAACTACACTAGATCACATACAAGTATGAGGGCCATGATTTGAATGCCAAACACTGATAGTTGTATTTAAAACAGTTTGAGTCAAAAACTCCATTCTATCCTTTTTTCTGTTAAAGTTAAATCTCCAACACTAGAACCAAAGCAACACCCTATAAAAACGGTTGTCTTCGTCAGAAAATGTTAAGCAATGTACATTTTCCACTCAGAGATTTAGTGTGGGAGGTTGTAGAGAATTTTTCAGTATATTGCTCAAACGCAAAGACACACAGCTTCTTTTACAAAGCCTGGCAGTTGTTGCTCGTATTTGTGTAGCAAAGCATATTACCGCGGTATAAGGCTAACTGGCTGCGAATGGCAGCACGAGCAAGGGGTGACTGCTTTTCCCTGTCTCAGATTGAAAGAACATGCCTCAGAATCAAGGTTGCGCTCGCACGAAAAGTACTGGAAGACAGAGAAAGCAGAACGACTAAAAGTGAACATTATTTGAAAAATTTAGTAATCTCTCTTCGGTGTTCTATACAAATGCAAGATTGAGTAATTCGGTTTTCTTGAATGCACAAGCTGGCTATCTACAATTTGTTTTAATCAAGTTATTTCTTTTAATCAAAACGATTTATAGATATGGCCAACACAGCATAACTTTGGAAAACATTTGCATCAAAAATGTAAACGGACGGAAAAGCAAGCAGTTTCTTTACCTCATAGCAGTTGTGTACACATAGTCCGAAAAATCGCGGAAACAGTAGAATGGTGTAGTTATAAGCCCCATCACAAGAGTCTGATTGTTATTCTGGATTCTTTTTAGCCATCCTGAAATGGCAAGAATCTCACAAAGAGCAACAAAGAGCAACAAAGAAAAGAAATTACCTTGAACCTTGTCAGTGACCTTCTTTTTGAAAGGAAACAAA